ATCTAGTCGACAGTATTTGAAAATTGGGCCATTTCCCATAGAACCTGGATGCTGGAATTGGGGGTCCTGGCCTGCATCTCTGTGTCGTCACCTCCTCAGATGTGGGGAAGATTGAGAAAGACGCTAGGCACGGGGTGGAGGCTGAAGGCAGAGCAACCTCCATCCTTGAAGGTCTCACTTGCTGAGGTGTCGACTTTGGGTTTCATGGTGATAGCTACTTGGAGCCCTAAGATTTTAATCTGAAGAGCCACCTGATCAACTTGGCACCTTGGAGGCAGGTTGAGGAATCCTTTGGAGGGACAAGTCCGGCGGTAGGGAGATCTCTAGGAGGCTGTTGCAAAAATCAGAGGGGAGGTGCTAAGAAGCTGAACAGAGGTACTGCACTAACCTTCCAAGAGGAGCAGACAAATTGGGCAGCTGTTGAGGAGTAGAAGTAAGTGCCAGATGAGGCACAAGTGGAATCCGGAGGTGGGAAGACTCTCCTGTCAGAGTGATCTCTGACTGGATCTGGTAGTGCCACTGGGGCTGCTGTTGCAGGGGGGTAGGACTTTGCTAGTCTATAACTTGCTTGAAGGTGTGTGCAACTCATTTGCATTTGTGCATTTTTTCTGAGTTGAAAGGCCTACATCAGGGTCCATGGTTGTAAGCAACAGAATCCAAATGTGGCTGCTTTAGGTAGAATAGGTCAGATTGCTGGAAAGGCTGGAGAACCAAATTCAGGCTACGCTGCGAGGAGCAGATCCTAGAACTGGTCTGGTGAGAGCATTTCTGAGGCTGCCCCAAGATACTGCTGCTGCTGCCAGCGGGCCCCGGATGTGCCACTAGCCCCTGCTGCTGGAGAGAAGATGCTGCGGGTTATCTCTGGATTCTAGTCTAGAGAAACTGTGGAGACATGTTGCACTTAGGTCCCATGTCGATGCTATAGCAGCAAAGGCACATGAAAGTGGTATCTGGCGTTTGCAGTTTCTGTGATAAGAGCTGGGCTCTGCTTCCCACCAAGACCCCAAGGTGAGCAGTGGGGATTCCAAACACAGGAAAGGGCTTCAGAGGCTAGGAAACCAATAAAATAAAATAGTTGTCCATCACAGGGTTTATGATTTTTGAGCATACCCAAGGGATGAGGTACCCCAAACAGTAAGAACCTCTTCTCTGTTTAGAGAGAATATTGGAAGCAAAGAAAGGTGATATTGCAAGGTGGGACCAGTAAGGGGTATTGGGAAAATGAGGGTTACCCGGCTTACCTGGAGATTGAAGAGAAGTGGGGGAAGTCCTTCAGAGATAGGAAGCCATGTTGAAATTTTCAGTTGCATTTCGGTTTTGGCCTTCATTTTCTTGGGAAAGGTTTTCCCACTGAACATTTTGATCTACAAAATGACCCAGTGAGAATATGACTTTAGAAAATTAATTTGATGGGACACAGAAGTAAGTTCAGTGGCTACTACTCTAACCCTGTGTGAACTGGGCTTGATGGGACTTCATGACTCACTGGACAGAGGAGGGGCACTAGGGACGAGGGAGCGAGGTGCCCTGCGGGGAGTGAGCTCCAGGTTTTTCATTCTGGTTGACGGGGAGAAGGTGACACCATCGGGGAATTGATAATGGGAGTGGAAGATAATGGTCTGTTTTAGAGAGTGGAGCACAGGGAGTGGGAGCCAGACTGGAGTTGAGTTCCAAAGGGTGGATTTAGAAATAAAAAAATCATGATTCTAGAGCAGTAGAGCACAAAGGTGATCTAATCTCATGCCTTTGTTTTATTTTATTTAAAAAATATGAGATGTATTAGTTTATGTTTCGTAGAGAAGGGAGTAGAAATACAAAGAAGAAAAGCAAAAATGGGCACGTAATCTTTTCCCCAAGTAACCCCACTTGACTTTAAGAAAAAAGTAAACTGAAGTAATGTATGCATACGATTAGAACATTCAAACCATGTGGAAAAGTGCAAATTGAAATACAAAAATGGTCCTCCCCAGACCTCCCTGGCCCCCAGTCCCCTTCACAGAGGTGAGCACGATGATGAAGCCATCGTACTGCACACACGGCTTTACCTTTCCTTTCCTTTCACATGACTTTTCCAATATACAGTAAATAAAAATACATAGAAAGATATACTTCCTTCTAACAGCCCCACACGTCTTAAACATCTTAGTGGCACTTAACCTGGCACCCTGGAAACTTTCAATGGCTGCCAATGTCCGCTGTGCAGGACCAACACCCTTCACCACTGTCTCTACCTCCCTCACTCTCTCCACTAGAGACTGACCTTCTTTCTCGAGACCTGTCCTTTGCTCTCTCTTGGCCCACTCCTCTTGGACTTCAGTTCCCCTGAGTGTCACTGCCTCCTAGAAGTCCTTGAGGATCCCAGAGTGGTCAAGTCACCTCCTCCTTCCCTAGACGAGAAGCTCCGCAAAGGAAATAGGGCATTGACAGGGCCGTGTCTGTCTTGGTCACACCTGTATCCTGCCTGCCCAGCATGGTGCCCACATCTGACAGGAACTCAGTAAACCGTTCATCCACTGTAATACATTCTGTCACGTTGGGCAAACAAACGTGCTCATATTGTAGTCCATTTTAACTGTCAGCTATATGAATCGGGAGCCATTTGTGGTCAACGCTATAAAAGCAAAATTACTCTGACACTTAGTAAAAATGGGAAGGAAGACTGCTCAAGACTATTGCAATAGGGGAGAGAGACTATTGCAAGTGAGAAATTGAACTCAATTCCCAGTACAACAGGGGCAGGTGGGGATTTGTAGCCAATGGGCAGGGTGAGGAAGTGGATGGAAAATTGCTAAGAAAAACTTGATTACATATCAAGGGTGGAGGAAGAGGAGCTTCATTGGATGTCAAGAATGAGAGGATTCTTTGCTAAATTTGGCAGGCCAAGGGCGAGGCCTGGTCGAGAAGAGCGCTTGAGGGAGCCTGACTAGAGCTTAGTCTAGGAGGACGTCCTGGCCGCCATCAGCCCAAAGGGCCACGTGCTGATTGCGCCCCATGGTATCTAATGTCACATCCTCATGAAGACAGGAGAGACCCTGGAGAATGGGCGATTGCACGTGTACATGGGCAAGAGCTGCCAGAGAACATCAGTTTGATCCATCTCCACGATGAACTTACATTGTTCTTATGTTTCAGAACAGGAATGATGAAGTATCTACTCTACCCTTCCTCCCAGGAGAATCCCAAAGACTGATTACGTTTCAAGAAAGACCTGTCAAGTGTTTTTGTTCCTTGGCAGTGAATGCTGGCGTTTTCCTCTGAAATTCTGTTTCACATCTTCCTGGTTACAGAGCTCACCCAGCCAGCCTCCGTGCTGTGACCTCCGTCACAGACATAGCTGACCTCTCAGTCCCATGGGGCACTCTCCAAGCTCATTTTGCCTCCCTGGGTAGGAGTCAGCCAAGGGGATTGCACACACTGTGCCCAAGTCATTTCTGGGTTTGCCTGTTGTCTGGAGTCATTATTAATAGCCCCTCTCCGCACCCTCATGTGTGTCCCAGTTTGATCGATGTGTCCTGTGGTCCCTCAGCTTGGCCCTCCCCCCAGCACAGAGGCTAACCCTGGACCTAGTACTGTGTCCCTGCAGGCTCTCCTGATGTTGCCACGATAGATTTCCCCAGCGGTGACTTGCACACACCCGTCAGTTTTTAGCAAGGCAGCTGGTTGTCAGGATGATGCTTGAAGAAATGCACGTGCGTGAAGGACATGACTGCATGCTTCTTTCCGCTTTCTTAGTGGGAGTGGACAGCTGAGAGGGGTGCAGGGTGGTGGTGCTGAACGGAGTGTGTTGCTGGGGATCTGCAGTGAAGTGTTAGCGGGGCCAGCCTGCTGTGTGCACTTGGAAATTGTATCAGGTGGTGTGGCTTCCAAGGCAGTGTCCATGTCTGGATTTCAGAGTTTCCAGACCAAGTATTGGCAGTACAGGATTTTGCTTCGTACTTTGCAAAGTGGGGGGTGTTTGTGAAAAATACAGTCCCCAGTTCCCATATCAGATCTACTGAATCATTCTATATGGCAGCTGGGGCTGGGGGCTTGTCTAAAAACCTGAATTTTTAACAGATTCTGCTGATTCTGATGGATAGTCTGGTTTGAGGACCACTGCCTCAGAAGAGATAGACATTTTGGCTTGTTTAGACAGTTCATTCATTCATTTAGCAATTCCTTACTGAATGGTAATCATGGGCCATGCCCTGGGCCAGGAGCTGGGTATGCAACAGTGAGCAACAGGATGTGTTTGCTGCCCAAAGAGTTTTCCAGACCAGCAGAGGGGACTGACCTTCACCTCGTAATGCCTCTGTGACAGCATCACTACAGGGGGAGTACAGAGGACTGTGGATGCTGAAGCAGGGGCCTACCCCAGACTCGGGGCTGAGGGCAGGCCTCCCTAGGGTGTGAGTCAGAGCTGGGACCTGAAGGATGAGGAAAGCAGGGTAGAGCTGCCTGACAGTGGGAACACCATTGCAGAGGCCTCAGACAGTGGGCAGGGAGATGGTTGCTGGAGCTGTGAGAGAAGCCAGGGATGTGTAGAGTGTAGGGGGTGGGTAGGGTGTAGGGGACATGGAGGGTGTAGTGAGAAGAGGAGGAGCTGTGGGGGAAAGGGTAGGTAGGAGGAATAACGGGGATGCTGGAGGTGCTTAGGTTTAGGGCTGGACTCAGAATGCCGAGGAGCCCTGAGGGGCTCAGAGTGAGGGAGGAGACGTGGAGCCATGAGGACCTGTGGGGGATCCTAGTCTTTAAAGTTCTGTGAGCTGATGAGCACCAAAATGCAGCCATCGCAGGCTATTTGAGCAAGCTTCCTAGTGGCCATGGGCAAGCCAGGGCCCTGGAGACAAAGATCCCTGGTCGTCCGTGCTGTCCATCTAGGGAGGTGCTAGGAAGTGGCTGTGGTGGGCAACAGGCCTGGGCTGTGCTCTGACCGCTGTGGTGAGGGCCCAGCCTCTGTGTGCGTAATACTGTCAGCTTCTGGTCCGGAACGCTCATTCTGGTCTGTGTCTCTCCACTAGATCCTGCCTGGCCTGTACATCGGCAACTTCAAAGGTGAGTTCTGTTTTTTTTATTATTGTGGTAAAATATACATAATACAAAATATGCGTTTTTAACCATTTTTAAGTGTACAGTTCAGTGGCATTAAGTACATTCACATTGCTGTGCAACCATCACCACCATCCATCTCAACAACTTTCTCATCTTCCCCAAATGAAACTCTGTACCCATTAAACCCTACTCCCCCTCCCCCTCCCCCAACCCCTGGAAAGCACCATTCTACCTTCTATCTCTATGAGTTTCACTATTCTAGAGATCTCATATAAGTGGAATCATATAGTATTTGTCATTTTGTGTCTGGCTTTTTTCACTGATCATAATGTCCTCAGGATTCTTCCATGTTGTAGCATGTGTCTAAATTCCCTTCCCTTTTAAGGCTGAATACTATTCCATTTTATGTATATACCACATTTTGTATATCCATTCATCTGTTGATGGACATTTGGGTTGCTTCCACCAAAGGTGAGTTCACTTTTTAAAAGATCAGCTTTAGGCTTCTCGTGCATGATTGAGTCAAAGTGTAGACTTAGTTTATACAAAGTGTGGTCTGGACGTGGCCACTTTTGCCCAGGACCCTTGCTGGGCCCTCATCCCTGTGCTGCGACCCCTCAGCCAGTGGCTGACAGAGTGGTATGGGGCCCTGCAGGTTCCAACGTGACCTCTGGTCTTTGTCTTAATTCTGCATGCTTGCTGGAACATTATTATAAAAGAAGGTAGCTAAAAGGCAAGGCACATTTAGCAGTCATGTAACTTATTTATAATCTTTTACCACTTTTGTTTTCTAATTATTGTTAAAAAATTTTCAGAAACCTATTTTTTTAAATCAACTGGGAAAAATACGTGCAATCTCATCTCTGGCAAATTATTCTCATCTTGTATTGACTTTTCTTCTTCTACATTTCTCTGTGGCTTGTTCAATATTTATTGATTTGCTGTCAGTTATTGATTTTTTTGTTTTTAGCTCATCTGTCTCAAAATGCTCTGTAATCACAGCTGTGAGTAGAAGCCCACAGAGCGAAGCGCCTGGTGGAGAACAGGCTCTTGTTGATTTCCAGGGAGGAACTGGGTCCCCATCACCATGTCCCTACGTGACATTTCAAGTGTGAAAACACTGGTTCCTTAGCGTTGGAGATAGGGTGTACTTAGTGGGAGGGAATGGACTTAGGAAACTTGCAGAAACAAGTCTGCCCGTGTCCAGTTGGAGAGACCAAACCTCGTCATAAGCATCTGAAGCTCCTCCCTCCCCAAACAAGCCAGAACACACCCCTGCCTATTTCCTAGTTGTTGCTTAAATTTGTGAGTTCAGGTTCAAATTGATTGTAAAAACAATCTGTGTGATTTTTCTGCATAATGTTTATTTCCTCTTCTTCCCCCGTAGACTCCTAGTGCTGCTAACTGGCTTCAAAGAGAACTGAGCATAGGGAGCTGACAGCTGCTAATTGCTACCAGAATACGTTAAAAATAGTACTAGAGTTCCTGAATTAGTAAGCTTTGTAGTTCTGAAAAAGCAGCAAGCGCTCTGTGGTAGGCAGGCAAGTGGTGCTGGAATATAGTAAGGAGCAAATATCTTGACGGGTTGTTTAGTGAGTTATTATTAACTGCTTTCATGGGAAGAGGGGAATGTCTTTGTGTTTGAAAGCAGAGTTTAGGATAAATTCTTAAAAGTAGAATTGCTAGGTGAAAGTGTTTGCAAATTAAAAATTGTAATACATGTCAACCAAATTCAGTACCACTGCCAACAGTATTAAGAGTGTTATCCATACTCATAGAAGGTTACTTTCTTTTAGAAGGACATGTGTGTCCAACTTCAAGGAAACATTCAAAACTCTTTGTGTACTGGAGTCTCTACCTCTTGTCAACATTCAGTGATGGAGGACTCCCCCACAGTCCCTGGACTGCTTCTCTGGGTCTCCCCATGAGAAAGCTCGCCAGCGGCCACACCGCCCGTGTTCAGGCAGGAGGTTCTGCTGTTGCCTTCAATTACTCTGACACTCATATGCGGTTGTGTTTTACTCATTAATTCACCAACATTTATTAACCACTTAACGGGTAAGGCATGTCTAAACCATGGGAATGATAGTCCACGGAATCATAATGCTGCGAGGAAGCCTTACGTCCGTCGAGTTGCCTGTGAATTAATCTTTCATCCCACAGACTCGTTGCAGATGCCCGACGTGCAGGGCATCTGATGTGGACGTACATCCTGGTCCTCAGTGGTTCAGACTCATTTTCTTTTCTTTTTAAATTACAAATAACACATGCCTACTATAACATAACAACCCATCTGGAAATGTATAAAGAAAAATTAATGGAAACATTTTTTTTGACTTTCTAAGAGATCTTTATTTTTTACAGAATGTGGATCAGGACTGCTACCCAGGCCTTGGTTCTAGTTGCCGTGTTCTCCTCACTCCGCTCATTGAATGGTCTCCTGTCCCATCTCCTTCCTTCCCTCCACTCCCTGCCCTGCCTTCCTTCCAGTGGGATCCTTTACATGTCACTCTGCAACTTTCTTTTTTTCCTTTTAAGTTTGCAATGAATCACAAACGGTTTTCCAACACCTGGTGATTTTTCCACCTAGAGAAAAACCCACAAACACACCCAACTTCTCGAGCCCAGTCTTTGATGGAGCTTCTTAGCTGAGGTGCCTGTAACTGGCAGGTGGCTCTGCCCAGATGCCAGGGGGGAAGGGAGGGTGGAAACTCAAAGAGCAGCCCCTCCCTAGGCCGAGAGGGTGGGGTTAGCTGCTTCCTCACAACTTGGCACATGCAAAAGTGGATGTGAGCGGACAGAGGAAGCCCGTGTTGTTTGAAGGTACCCACAAAAATCTAGAAAAGTGGGAGACATGCTCAGGCCCGGTGTGTGCTGGGGATGTACACAGAGACATGTTTGAGGGCTCAGAGCTTTTGTTCTGTGTCTGCCGGTGAGAAGGGCCATGGTCTCAGTGGTGGTTCCCTGGTTGTTCAGACGAGGCTGAGCTGTTGGCCTGCTGTCAGCCTAGCCCACAAGAGCATCAGGTGGTGCAGGGAGAGCTGGAGTCAGCTGTCTTGGAAGTAAGCGTGTATTTGGAAACATTCAGAGGTGACTGAGATTGAGGCCCATAACACAGCCTAGGGACTTACTCTGGTCCTGATGATGATGGTGATGATGGCGGCAACAGTAACATCACTACGCGCCAGGCAGCACTGTTCTTGGCGTTTCATACCATTTAGTACTTCCAGCAACCCTTTGAGGTTTCACTCTTAACATTTTCCCACTTTACACATGAGAAAAGTGAAGCACAGAAACACTCACCCAAGGTCAGCTCCAAAAATGTCAGAGCCAGGGTTGTAAAGAAGGGAACAGGTAGGAAATGCCCCATTTGGGCCCCCAGCCCGAGCTGGGAATGTATCCACTTAAAAGTTGAACCCATTAACAGCTAATTTATAACTCCAGCAGTTATTATAATGTATGATAATTTATAACTCTAGAGGTCTTTACCTTCATTTTGCAGTGAGAAGTATAACTGCAAAGAAGTTGGAATCCCTTGCCCATCTCTCGTAGATTCTCACCCTGGGAGGTGAAAGTTGTTTGGGAAGTGACTGAACATGGCTTGGGGTTCAGGGTCAGGGCAGAGGGAACTGGGTCCCTTTGAAACAAAGACCTTCCTTCTCCCCTTCTCTCCCCTCTCATCCTGCATGGCCGTGCTCTTGAGTCCGCACAGCAGTGCAGCAGATGCTCTGAGTATTGGAACAGCGTTACCAAAGAAGTTCTTTTCACTGAATGTCTGTTTTTCTATGGTGCTTGTGGTGATGGTGTTAATTTCTAATGTTTTTTCCAATATAGTTTCGTTAATTTTTTTCAGAAGCAATTCTGCTTGATTTTGCTGGACTAGCTTATTTCCCGTGGCCACTCTGGCATTTCCCACATCTCAGGACTGGTGACCCCTGTTCATCTTCTGTATCAATACAAGATCTAGAGCACTAATTCCCCTTCCTAAGGAAGCACATGGCTGTCACTTTGCCGGTTGAGGACAGCATTGTTCAGGAACCCATCTGCTACCCCAGTGAGGTCTTACCAGTGGTGGGTGGGCTCTTCCTCTGAGCCAGGCAGGGAACGTGCAACAGCAAAGGAGAAGGATTGGTCAGGCGTTTCTGTTTCAGTGCTTCTACTGTGTGAAGGTGACATTTGCTTCCTCAGAAGGCCACGTGAGGCCTGGGGTGGGGGGAAAACAGAGGCAGGCGACAAGAGTAGGCAGGAGTCGAGGGACCAGGGGAGATGATGGCAGACAGAAGAAAAGAACATGGTTAGCTGTTTTTCCCAAAGAGGAGTTGACTGTTCATTTTACCTATTAATGCAATTTATATTGAATTTTGTGAACAGTATTTTTTAAATTTTGTTTTTCCTGATATAGTAATGTGGGCTTATCAAGCTAAAATAAAATAAAAACTTTAAAAGTCCAAACATGATAGAAATATGTTAAAGAGAGTAAAAACCTCCCCAAACCCCACATCCTGAGATAACCATGGTCAGTGTTATGTCCCTCTAGATTTTTTTTCCATGTGAATTTTCACCTGTAATCTTCCCATTGGTTTTTTCTTTTTGTCTGAGGAAGATGCACCCTGAGCTAACATCTGCTGCCAATCTTCCCCTTTTTGTATGTGGGCCGCTGCCACGGCGTGGCCTCACCAGGTGGTGTAGGTCCACTCCCAGGAACCGAACCTGGGCCACCAAAGTGGAATGTGCCGAACTTAACCACTAGGCCACCTCCATTGGTTTTATTGATACTGAGTTTTTGCATTTTTTATTGGAAATGGCTCTGAGTTATTTTCTGACTTAGAAATGGAGTTAACATGCCTCAGTGGTAGAGGGGCACTCTTGGCACCAGGTCAAAGGTCATTCCCAAGAGGCCCACAGGTCTCCATGTGTACAGTGCACACAGCCTTCTGGGATTCTTTTGCAAGTGCAGGTTCTGATCCTTCAGGTATGTAGTGGCCCTGGGAGTCTGCATTTCCAGCACACTCCCAGGTGATGCCATGCTGCTGCTTGGCTGACTCCAGTTTGAGCAGCAAAGGACTAAATTCTGCCCCTACGATTTTGTGTTCAGGGAGAGCTGGTGTGAAATTTCCAGGCTGGTGCATATGCACATGAGCTGATGACCCCGCGGCTCTTACAGCTGCATTCACAACTCGTTACCAGAGTGCCAATGGTTGTAGGCAGCCATCCAAAACCATCAATAATTTCTAGTTTTGAAGAATAAAAGGTCCAATGTCATCATCCAGTAGCATTGATTAAGCATTTAATGCACACAAATAGGTGGACAGAACTTGTGCTCATGGGAAAGGGTCATCCCAAAGTGGTGTATCAGTGTCTACAGCGCTGTGATCAAATAGAAAGGAGCACAGAGCAAAAGGAGCATTTTCCAACAGTTACTTCCATTTTCTTTGGAGTCCAACAGTCAGTTGTCTCATTTGTGGTATCAAGTGGTCTTCTGTATTCAAAAATGTATAATTTTATTCCCAAACCACTTTTTTGTTGTTTATCTTAATCTGTTAAGATAATAAATATAATCTGTATATTTAAAAATTATATTTATGGGGTGATGAAAATCTTCTAAAGTTAGATTGTGATGATGGTTAAAGAACTCTAAATATACTAAAAACCATTGAATTGTACAATTTAAAAGGGTGAATTTTATGATATGTGAATTATCTCAATAAAGCTGTTTAAAAAAAATATGTTGAAACAAGTATTGATCTTTACAATTCACATCCTGGGCAGAATCAGAATCTGGAAGGTCCTGTACTAGACCGTCATGAGCCTGCTGCGGGAGCTCCCCACGACTCTGCCTCTGCCGAGGCTGCTGCCCCACCTTGTCTGGGCTCTCCCGTGAGCACCAAAGCTCCAGCTTTGTCTTGTTGCCCTACTTGTCTAAAACATACACACCGGGGGTGATTGGAAAATCGCATGTTGGTGAGAATGTGGAGGCTGGCTGGCTATGGGATCCTAAATGATTCTAGTTCCTGCGTAATTCAGAGCTCGCTGACACAGCAACTTGTGATAGCTGTGCAGGGGGCAGGGGGGAGGTGAGGGGGAGGTTAGAATTGAGTCCCCAGGTATGTAATGTAGATGGCTGCTGTGCACACCTAAATTTGAAGCTTGAGATGGTGGGAGCAATAAAGAGGTCTTAAAATAAAACCAATGTTTTTGTATTAACTTTTAAAGATCTTTTTCTGACTTTAAAAGTGGTGCACGCTTATTGCAGAGTATTTAGAACAGTGTTTCTTAGTTTCTGCTCCATCATTGAGGCTTATTAGAAATGCAGATTCCTCAGCCCTGCCGTAGACCTTAAACTAAATTGGAGCCCAGGAATCTGCCTTTTTAACAAGTCCCCTGGTAAGTTTATGGGCATGTTAAACTTTTAGAACCACCTGTGTCAAATACACACAAAAAAAACTATAAAAAAGAAGAAAAATTAAAAACACTTGTAATTCCATTTCTTCAGGATTATCGCTGTTGGGGCTAATTCCTTATAGCTTTTTCCCTCTGTGTGTGTGTTTGTCCTATGTGTTTTTGCAGATTGAGTTTATATTGTATTTATAGTTTGGTACCTGCTGTTACTCCCGCTTACCATTGTGTCCTGAGCATTTTCCCCTATCATTAATATTCCCCAGACACATGATAATTAAACACTTGACTTTTGGTTTATTTTACCCTGTGTCATTTTACAAAGCTTGTCCCAGGCCAGGACAGGGACACAGGGGAGCTGACCATCTTGTTTCTTGCAGGACGTCCTGTTTTGTAGATTAGCAGAAGAGTTCCAACTTACGGGGATTCATTCAGTCTTTCTTCCACACGTAGGAGCATTGGAAGGGAATATGATTTTGGTGTCTTCTTAGTTTCATTTGCAGATAATTTAATAGTCAACTGATAACTACAGACAATTTTGTTTGGAATTTCTAGAAAATGTTTCATTTTTACTTTTGCCCTAAAATGGATATAGATGTTATAAACCACAGTCTTGTCTGCATCTGGACCCATCCCTGCTTTTGACATCAGAGTAAAATTGTCTCTGGCAGGTTTCTATTTCTTGTATAGTAAATGGGTCGTTCGTATTTAGTTTTATCTTAGATTACTAATCGTTAAGATTAGTAATTTTTAAAAATATTTTAAACATCTTTATTGTTTGTTTCATTGTAAGTGTCTACAATTTCACAAATGTCAACTGCAAAATCACCTCATAAATTCACTTCCTTTAAACAGCAACAATCATGATTACCGTGTTTATTAATCTGGACATCTTTCAAGTTTTAGATGACCACTTTGTATAAAAAGATGGGCCAATCAGTTTATTTCTTTTTAGAAAATAATGCCTGTGTGGTTGTGACGTGTGTGTTTTTCTGTTTTAGGGTGGGGTGTTATGTATTTAGCAGATAACTAGTTGTAGATACATGAAAGCAATAGCCCTAAATTCCCTAGATCTATATTATTCTGGGTATGATCAATTATGAAGTTTCGAGAAAGAAATATGCAAGTCATTTTGTGTTTTTTCCTGGCTAAACTTTAGAATTCACTTACAGAGAATATTAAAATGTTCGTTCTCTTTCTTCTATGACAGATGCCAGAGATACAGAGCAATTGAGCAAGAACAAGGTGACACATATTCTGTCTGTCCACGATAGTGCCAGGCCTATGTTGGAGGTAAGGGAGCTGTGCACGTGTGTCTTCATCTGTGTTCCTTGGGAGTGCATAGGACAGTAATGAAGGCAACCGTGTTCTCTCTGACACCAGTGTGCTCCTGGGATTTCTGGCCACGTAAATTTTGTGCTCTAGCCAAATTTATGTTTGTGCCCTGTCCCTGGCATGGCGGAAGGGAGTGTTCTTTTTCTGATTGTACTCCTGCTGCATTGCCAGCTTGGCTTTCTTGGCTAAATGCCAAAGAATAAGCTGATTCTGCACTTCCCTCTGGATTTTAAGGACATTTAAAACCAATTTTCATTCCTTTCAAAATTATCTCTGGTTTTAGAATCCAAAAGTGTTCAGGCTGCTCATTTCCTGATTTTTTTCATTTAAACTCAATTATCTACTATTTGCATTTAGGAATAAAAGACAGTGAAAGACAAATTGTCACTGGAGATTGTCCAGGGCTTCTCTGACACAGAGACTCTCAATGTAAAAGCTGTTATTGTGTTTTAGGTTTTCAAGTAAACAGGGTGTGTCTGCCTGTACACTAATTCCAAAAACATCTTCAATTTTACCCTAATGGACGGTTTGAGCTGTTGGCCGGGAGTAAAATCTATTTCTGTTTATTAGCCTTGACAGAGCCCAAGTTACCTCTTTTTAGAAAATAATGCATATGTGGTTGTGACATGTGTGTGTTTTTCTATTTTAGGGTGGGGTGTTGGAGAGGGAGGGGTGACCTGTTCTGAAAGAAATAATCCTAGTTCAAGATGTTTTCATTTAAATTCATATTATGCAAGAGTAGGTAATATATTTTTTTAATTTATCTATTTTCCTTAGCCATTAGAGCTACCAGATTTCAGTCAGTGTAACAGATGAGAACATGGAGTAAATAAGTGATTCTGTTAAATGCTATGGAGGACTACAGGTGGTGGCCAGACCTCTGTTCGTCTCTCCAGGTCTGTGAGCTCGTACTTCCTTCTGTTTCAGCTTGTGGGTTTGTTAAAGGCCATAGTTCATGTTGCAGCATCATTTTATTGAAAACAACAGCAGCACATCATTTTTGGCAGCCTAACAATTCCTTTGAAAATAGCTACTCCATTTTTTCATCTATCAACAATAGTTTATATTTAAAATATAGCCAAACTATGGCCAAGATGGTAAGTTAAACGCAAACTGGTCATGATTGACTTCCTCTTAAATCACAAGATGAGGCTTGAGGTTTCCTTTACTTTAATAAATTACATAGCTATCCTTCCCACCTTGCCCTCCTGGCCTGCCTTGCTCCTTTAAACTCCATTAAATGGAGCACACTGTCATGTGTGAACATGGCCCTTGAATCTGTTCACATTGTAACTTCTGTCTAAATACAAGATCTTCAAGTTTTAGCAATAAAAGAGCTCCAGCCCTTCTCTGTCCAGCCTCCCCATTTTACACATAGGGAGGTAGGGAGACAGAAGGCTGGGGACTGAAACAGGTGGGATTGAACCTGCTACAAAGAGACCACCAGTGGCGTGAAAACCTCACAGCTGCTGGCAAACTGTGCTTCCTCATCAATAGTACACTTCGTGATCTTTTTTATTCCCTGTATATCTCAGTCTGTAAGGACAAATTCTGCCTTGAAAAAAGGAAAAGAAAGAGAAATTCTGTGCCTTTTCTTCACAGGGATGGCTTTTGCTTGGTGACGTCCTGTTGTTGTCCTTGGGTGCTCTCACTACCTCAGCTCGAGAATGAGTACCTTCCTGTGACTTCATATTCATTAGGGGGTAGATCACCATTTTATAACATAACGTAGTTTAACCTTGCCCCTCTTATTTTTTTTTTAATTTTTTTTTTTGATTTATTTATTTTCTTACGCCAAAGCCCCAGTAGATAGTTGTATGTCATAGTTGCACATCCTTCTAGTTGCTGTATGTGGGACGCGGCCTCAGCATGGCCGGAGAAGCGGTGCGTCGGTGTGTGCCCAGGATCCGAACCCGGGCCGCCAATAGCGGAGCGCGCGCACTTAACCGCTAAGCCATGGGGCCGGTCCGTCCCTCTTATTTTATTCATTTTTAACTTCACAAGTAATTCATAAATACATTCCTATAAAAAAATTAAAATAATAGCCTCTCTGATTGCACAAGTGGGGAAAACTGAGACACAGAAGTCATTTGAACTGGGGTGCTCCCCTTAAGGTATTGGGAGAGAGGAGGTTTGCTAGGGTCCCAGAAGTTCCAGACCTTGGTTGAGCCCTCTGCCTGATACGTGAAGGCAGTCTTCTGTCCTAGATTTAACATTCAGTTCCAGAAGCCATGATCTCACCCAGCCTGGGATGAGTCCGGGAAGTTGTGTGTTTGGAGTCAGTAGGGAGTTAACAGAGATTTTATTCTTCAGCAGCTCTGTGTCATGCTGGCCCTGATCCTGGGAGGGAATAGGGCAGGGAGGAAGGTGAGACGGCAGACTGTGTGCAGAGCCAAGCACCTGCAGGAAGCTGAGCCCCAGCCTGGTGGGGGCCCTAATACATGGTGGAGGGGTAAGGAATGGGAGAGGAGAGAGCTGGGACCTCCTTGTTTTTCTGAGATCTTCAAAACCATGCATGTTTGTCAAATCTCCGCACTTACTCTAGGCAATGCCACTGTGGGGCTGGGCTGGAGGTGGGGAGGTAGTTACTGTCTGAAATTGAAAGATTGCGGTGCTGTCACCTCTGTGCAGGAGTTCGGTGCGCCCTGCTGCCGGCTCACTCTGTGTTGGGCATTGGACTGTAGGTACTTCTTTGGATCATTTCCAACACACATCTGAATGCGTTTAAAAGCACGGGGTGCTTAACATCAACTATCAAGGGCTTTTAGAACCTTTCGGTCTGCTCTTATTGCAATGGAGGCTAAGTGAGAGTGGGCGCTCATATTGTTCAATGTGGTTTCTAGAACAGAGGTCACAGGTCAGGGGCTTAGTGAGGATTCTCAAAGGACAGATTGTTGAACAGTAGGTTTGGGACGTGATTGCTTTGAAAACAATAAATAAGTTTAGGGAATTTAGCATACCATAGGCCCCTCTAGAAGATTCACAGTTGTATTGACAGAATAAAAGCTCTCAGTTTCTGCATTGAAGACACACATTTATCAGTCTTTCTGGGCAGGGAACCAGTTTGTGTGTGTGTGTGTGCTTCTGTGACACACCACCTGATAACACCCCATGGAGCTATGTTCTGCTGAATACAGTCAGGGGGATCCAGACTAAGGAGGACCCAGGTAAGGGGTCTCCTGCCCCTCGCAGTCCAGGGTGAGCCTCTTGGATGAGCACTTGTTCAGAGGGACACTCGTACAACTTGTAAGCTAAGGCAGCTGGGGTCAGGGAGATGGTGCCAAAACTGATGTTACCAACTGAGGCTGCCCTAGTCTACGTTGTTGTGAGAACCTGGTAGAGGTAGAATGGAAGATTGCACAGTTTTTGTGCCTGTTACATCCTCTCCGGTTGTAATGATTTGTAACCTGTTCCAGCACCTGACCAGTGAGAATATTATAAAGTGCACCCACCATGAAAGGCCTCATGAATATCCTGAAGACATATTAGACATCTTTAGCTTATTGTTTTTACTTAGGAAGGACCTTAAGGAACCTGTGACTAGATTAGGTGTGCTTCTCCATTATTTGGGTAATTTTTGGGCGGATTTCCCAACATAGCATTAGAGTGTCTCATAATCTTCCTAGCAACCCGATAGGCAGATGAAAATGAAAGAATGAAAGACCTCTGGAGTGGCTGGGCCTCACCTCTGGTCATCGAGTGGAGCCGAGTGGTCCTTGTTGCTTCTTTGGTGGATGAGACAAGATTGATTTACCCTCTGAACCTGGGGTGAGGTTGTCAGCCAAGGGAAAGGCTCCACTTACTGTTTCTTCAGAAAATTAACTGAGGAGTAGCTCTTCCAGAATGAAGATTCTTAGAGACACGGTAGAAACTTGGGGACCTTCATACTCACTTGAGTTAGCCCTAAACTAACATCTGAGATGCTGAAGAGCTCTGACTCCATTTCTATGCCTACTGCTCTTTGTTTGACATAGAAATCCCAGTTGAACAGGGTCCTAGAGATCACTTACCTGACTCCCTCACTGTGTGGACAAGGAAGCGGAGGTTCAGAGACATGAAGGGACTTGCTCACGGTCCCACAGCTCGTCTAGGTAGCTCTATGGGAACCTGGATCTTCTTTTCCAGACCAGAGGTTTTCCCAGAGTGCCTTACTGCCTTGATCTTCTCCTAGCATGACTGATGCTTCTGATTTTGCTGGCAATATTTATAGATATTGCCACATCAGCTTTGGAAAGGGTGGTGCCTTTTGTGCCCTTCCTGGCAGTATGTGAACGTGCCTGTTTCCTCAAACCACCACCAGCACAGAGTTTTATTCTTCTTTACTTTTAATTAGCAGTATTTTTGTTTTGTGTGTTTTGCTGCAAATGCATTCCTCACACTGTTGAGTCCCTCGTCCAGACATTTCTTCCCTTTGAAGGCAGGGAGTTAATGATTGATTCATTTCTTGAGGTCCTATAATATGCCAGGCCCTGGGACAGGTGCCAGAGACCACAGAAGTGAATCAGTCCCAACATCTGCCCTGGGGAAGTCCTTAGTATATGAACAAGATATATATTATGGCTGTTTTATAAATATTACTAACAATTACAGTCCAGTGAAAGAAAAGCGGTGGTTCAGGGCAGGCCCTTGGTGCTAGGAATCAAGTGGGAACAGAGGATGTGGAAGCTCAGAGGACAAGGTCCCTCCTCTACCACGTGAATCTGGAGGCATCTGTGGTGACCAGGCGTTTGACTGGGCCTTTGGAGAGCTGGGACTTCGAAAAGTCTGGTTTCTGGCATTCTGGCCTAGAGGATGCTGGTAGAGAGCACCAAGACATGACTTCTTCTGGTGCTAGTCTTGTGCTATCCTCCTAGAACTCCGAGCCCCGCAAGGTGGATGGCATTGTCCTGGTTCCTTCACAGTGTCATCAGGCCTGATGACTTGCTCACATCACTCACTAGCAAGTGGCAGAGCAAAGG